CACAAAATACAGTCTGATAAAGATTTTTCTATACGTTGATCAAGCAGGAAATGCAATGTATTTGAGCAACACAGAGAGAGAGAGAGAGAGAGAGAGAGAGAGAGAGAGAGAGAGAGAGAGAGAGCGTTAGAAAGGGAGAGAGTGAGAGCGAGCGGCAATGCGAGAAACAGCCCGAGAAAGTTAGAGCGACGGCGGGAGAGAAGAGAGAGCAATACATAGAGAGAGCGAGGGAGAGAGGGAAAGAGCGCGACAGAGCGAGAACCGGATGGAGAGCGAAAGAAAGATGGAGCGAGAACAAGAGAGAGAGAGAGAGAGAGAAGGGAGAGAGAGAGAGAGTGAGCGAACGAGAGCGAGAGAAAAAGCAAGAATGACTGTGAGAGAATGAGAGTGAGTGAAAGACCTAGATAGAGTGAGAACGAGCGTGAAAGGGAACTGGTAGGCTAAAGAGGTAATCAGCTTGCTACGTCGAAATTGGTAGGGTGGGACGAGTTAAATAGTTTTTATCACATCTAATTTTATGTTACGAGACTAAAATTAAATTGGCATACTACATATTTTTCGGAGTTGATTTATTTGTGTTATAAAAATTTGCCGTTTTCTTATTTACTGTATTTGCGAATATAATGGAAAATTTTAGTGTCGTTGTGAAGCCTTTCGGCGTCAAAAATATTGGTTTTCCAAGAGCATTTTCAAGAATTTTACTTAGCTTCGCAATCACAATTTGTTTTGAGTTTCGGTGTAAAATCGCAAGAAAAATAACATCAAAAATCGCGAAAAAATCTCAAGTTTCGGGAATTATGTGAAGGGAAGATAAGTTTTGATTTCTTGCCGATAGGAGGTTAGATACCTGGCTTAGTTTTGATTATTTTTCGATGGTTTCATACTTTCGAGCCTCGTCTCCAACCCTAGCAACTTTTCCCAGCTGTGGTGTGTGGTGGTGGGAGCTCTTGCTGGGGTGGTGGGGGATAATGGAGGGAGCTGAATATGGGATAATGGCCTTCAGGAGGGCCCCCATCTGAGTCTCAACCCCCTTTTCCTACCTGCAATTTGTCGCTCAACCTCTGGCCCGTGGAGCTGGCACACTAGACAACTGGCAGATAGAAAAAGCGCCCCCTCATTCCGCCACACTCCACCCTATCGATAGCATGACGTTACGTACGGCATTTTTTCAGGGAGTTATTTGAAGGGACAGTGGCTGTCATTTGCATCCGCGTCTGGCTGAGGCACAGTAGCTCACTTGCAAAAGTTGCCTAAACTTTATTTTTGTGTAAGGCTGCTCGAGACAATGAGAAATTTCAACCGTGTCACTGGGTGCAAAAATCATACCACGTGGCTCTCCAAAATTTGATTTAGTTTTGGTACCGCTTTCCATTAGCTGGCAAGATGCAAAGAAATCAGGGACCTTTTGGGTACTGGACTGTTAGCGGGGGGGGGAAGATAAAAATTGTTTTCCGATTTTACTTGTGGATGAGATATAATGTTTCTTACAGTAATTTTTGTGGTTTCAGATCCCTGGAGAGGTATATGAAATTTTCACACCTCGAAGTTGTTTACTTTTGTTAGCTATTTTTCATACCGCATTGACCAAATTTTCGCAAATTTTTGAGGTTTTACGAACTTTGATAAACTTTTGATATATTCTATCTCTGAAAACTATTTAAAATGCTATGAAAATTATCTGTATTTGGTTAATTGGCCGTACAGAATGACTGGAACAGATTTTAGAATTATTAGAATGATATCTAGAAAATGACTGGAAAAAATTGTTGCTTCACGTATTTGAAGGTGCGCGTGAGGCGTAAAACTCACGCATTGCTTTTGATCTTTTTTTAAGTTGACGAAATACATTAACCACTACTAATACACAAAAAAGAAAAAAAAAAAAAAAAAAAAATAAAACTCATTTAAGATATATAAGCACTTTTATTTATCAAGTGGAGTGGCTTGAATTCTCTCCATTAGTTGATGGGTTTGCTGTGCTTATGTAGGATTCGGTGTGTTTTGGGTGATTTGGTGGCCTGTCGGGGTGATGGCCTGGAAAACGCGACTAATGGATTATTGTGATTTTTCGGATCCACGGGCTCAACAACATTGGCTAGCTGAGCGCTTTTGATCTGATGTTCCCCTGCCTCCGAAAACCAAGCCTCATGTCGTCACGCTTTTACCGCAACATTCCCCTAACGGAACAGCCCGTTGTTTATGGATCTGTGTGGGTGTTTCTCAACAGACCAAGGGGGGCCCCGATAGCCAGCCAATTATCCGTGCCGATCTACCCAAGGGCCATTCGTCAGGATCCCATTTCTCCTTGGGCCAACAACCAAATCGTCTACGGCTCACCCTTCATCTATCTGCTCGGTCTATATTCTTTTTTTTGTTCGCGCTGCGGTATCTGGCCCAGCTAAGGAGCTTGGCAGCTGGGTCTAGAGCTATTCGGGAGGGCACACATACGATGAATTATGGCCTGAATCTGGGCCCGCTAGAGGCCCAGATTGGGGCCCAGAGAAGGGGGGTGTGGGGGCCAATGAGCCGATCTGGGGGGCAAGGCTTCTTCTTTACACGCCCCCACCTGATGGCGGATACACGAATTTGGACACGCGGGATAAAGCTATTTTGGGGGTTAGGAAGCGATATTTTTGGGATAAGATTCTCAGGGTGGTCCGTTTTGACTGTTTGACGAGGTTTTTTTTTGAGAAATGGAAGATTCTAAGTTTCATAGAGTAATTTTGGAAATTCTTAAAGAATTACTCCCGTTACATCCAACAGGCAGTAGCCAATTTTCTACCTTCTGGTTGTTTTAAAATTCATAAAAATACCGGAAGCTTTACAATAGATATTGGCAGACAATCCAATGGCACGCTACGTACCTTTATCCTGATACGGTATGTCTCTGTGGTCTGGGAAAAGGCAATGCCTTTTCAAAAAGTCCGTTCAAGAACTACACTTGCTACTTCGTATTCTTGCTTTTTGGCGGTGTATGCATTTTTTAGACCCAAGTTATTATTTAAACTTGATGATCCGCTTTTTTAACCCGTTTCCAGCAGGATCTGTGCTAGATTGCCTCCAGTAAGGACCCACATGGACCCTCAATGGAAGCTTCAAGTATTATTTATGAGAGCGGGTAACTCTTACATCTGGGAAATGAAAATGAAAGAAAATGAAAAATTATTTGGTCTGATATTGCGGAGCCCGGGCCTTTTCTTTACATCTGGTGGTCGGTAGATAGACAATTTGAATCTACAAATTCGCAAATTGCAAATGTTTTGTCGTTACGTCGCGAAATTGAATGTGTTTCCATTGGCGCCGTATCCTTTCCATTTGAATTTGGATTGTTTTGGTGATCATTCAATCTTTTTCCGAAATATGCCCTCCACTTTCCTTTAGAAATCTCACTAGAGTCCCGCTCTAGCTGGAGAAGAGGAGGGGACTGAGAAGCGCTGCAAGCACGGGAAGGAAACTAGTTTCCTGCCCGGCAAAACTCGCATCATTTCTCTTCAATTTTTGAGGTCTCTGGAATCAGTTATTGCAGGGGGGCTGTAATCAGCTATTGATATGCGTTAGGAGGGAATTGATTTTTTAATTTAGCGAGCGGCCTAACTCTTTCATCAAATCACTACTTAATTGAATTTAAAGGTGCAGCGCAAGTAATAGTTTTGCAGAGATTTAGCTTGGATCGGCTTTGCATTTCCTATGAGCTTTGTTGCGTTCGAGCCATTGGTCTACGTTTTGTTGCGTAACGGATTACGAACTTCACTTATCGCAGCGGCCCAGCGTCGCGTTTCGAGCGGTCTTTTCGTGCCTGTGGTGTACGTGTCGCTTCATGCGCCATGTTGCGTATGGCGCCCTGCGTCGCGTCGCCTTGGCGCCGCGTTATTGCGCATCGCGTTGCGTCGTGACTGGTCGCGCGTCGCCTGACGTGTCGCGTCACTTATCGCGTTGCGTAAACGGCCCCTGGGACGCGGCCTAGGCGCCTCAGGTGCAACGTGCTTAGGGGGGGGGGGGGGGGGGGGGGGGGGCTTAACTTTGATAAACTTTACGTTCTGCTTTCTGAACTCATCATCCTCAAAATCAGACACCCCCCGATTTTTCACTTTTGATTTTTTGACCTTCCGCTTTTGAATGAAATCTATTCGAAGCGCAACGTCGTCTTCTTTTTCCCTACCTGTCAATACCAAGGTAATTTTCGTGTCGTTTTGAGTGGGGAAGGCGCTGAATTTTCGATTATCTTTTGGGGAAGGTGAGGAGTAGAAAGGGGCTTGTCAAGTGCAGAGACGGGCAAACCCAGAAGCCGGGATTTGGCTGGGTGGCTGGCCCTTCAGAATCCGTCGTCGACAAGCCGGATCTTCTCAAAGTTGGGTGTATTTTGGATCGAGAATATTTCATATAAAATAGGAATGAGATTAACATCATCACAACACCTGGGGTATTTTTTTGAGGCTAAGTTTTCTTTGTATAAATTTCTCGAAAAAACTTTGCACAATGTTGTCATCCGATTTTTTCAAAAATTGTAATGAATTGAAAAAAAATAAAAAAATTAACAAAATAAAAAAAAATCTCTTTGACAAGTAATAAAAAAAAAAAAAAAAAAAGGTTAACAAACAAGAATTTCGGCAAGTTTTAGAGAGCCTATAAAGCGGGAACCGAATTATTGTTAAAGGCAAAAACGATACCTAGAAACATTCCCTTTTTTTTTTTATTTTATTTTTAAAGAAAAAATTCCCCTGATTTTCTTAATTTTATATTATTTCAATATAAACATTAATAGCCTTTTTCCTCCATTTTTTAATAACAAAAACAGGGCTTTCCTCATTTCCCTGCCCTCGCCAATTTGCCCAAAAAAAACTCTTGGAAACTCGCCTCATTTTCGCACCCCAATTTGCTATCGTCAGGCTCACCGCCTTGTTGTTTTGCCATCATTTCTATTTTTTGTTAGCTTTTCCGGTTTTTAAAGGCACACAATTCTTTGATATATTGTTTTTTACTGACTTGAATTTTTAGCAAAAATGACGCTGCAAGACCTGATCGCAAAGTACCGGGGAAACCGGAAGATTTTGCTGCTGATCGTCTACATTGCTCTGTTTTTGGACAATATGCTGTTGACGACAGTTGGTAAGAAGTCTTTAGTGATACCTTAAAAAAACCTATATTTTAGTCCCAATCATCCCAGAGTATCTGCTCCGGTTATCGCATCCGAACGAGACGGATCTGTTGCTTTATAACAAGGTAAGGTACACTAAAGGGACGTGCAATGCTTGTTTATGAAATTTCCGCGACGCGACACGCAACGCAACTCCCCAAATTTTATTGGGTAATGGGTTATGATCTCTTTTACATCTAGAACGCGAAAGCGCGCGTCACGTGTTGCGACCAGGACTTTCTCAGCTACGAAATTCCTGTGGACCCCAGCCCATAGGAATTTCATAGCTGAGAAAAAGCCATATTTGCCTTGTGGATCCCTCTAAAAACTAAATGCGGAATTTATAAAAATTTGATGATTTGATTAAGGCTCTAAAAATCCAAAAATAGCGATGAATAATTTTCTATACCTTCAGAAGTCCCTTTTAGCCATCTGAAGTCTCCGATCACGTTCGAGGAAAACGCGGGTCCGGCTATTGGGATGAGAGTCAGGTATCGAAAAATTTTCAGTCTTTTGAAGTTTCTATAGGCCTTAAAAAGTGCAGCTTTAGATGTAAAACTCAAAAATCTATACCTCTATACTATTTTTAGGACTGGGACCTCCCAGTTGACGACGAGGATCGCAAAATTCCGTGGGAATCCAGCCCGCTAGGGCCGAAAAGCAAGAGCAAGACAAAGGGACGAACAAAGTCCAAGGCCAAGGTCGGGGCATCTGATTTATGCCATAAATATTTAAACATTTTAGAATCCATTAGCACCGAAGACAAAGCAGAGGCCGAAGCAGTCACCAAAGGATGAGGGTACGTACAATAATCAGAAATTTTTACAATTGCCGTGTCTGACTTCGATGTTCCTTTAGGCCCTCCACCTGGTGCTCCAGACAACGAACACCGCCATCAAGTCCTCGCAGAGGAAAATGTGCACGTCGGGTTGATGTTCGGTTCCAAGGCGTTGATCCAGCTTCTCGTCAACCCTTTGGTTGGGCCGATGACTAACAAGTGAGTAGCAGAGATGAGAGAGAGTGAGAGAAAAAAAGAGAAAGAGAGAAAGAGCGAGAGCGAGTAAGAGAGAAGCCAGAGCGAGAGCGAGAGAAAGGGCGAGCGAGAAAGGAAGAAAGATCGAGGGAGATTTACAGCTATTTCCTCGAATATTTATGTTTAGAATCGGCTACACGATGCCAATGTTCTGGGGTTTTGTCATCATGTTCCTATCGACAGTGATGTTCGCATTCGGGTCTTCCTACGGAACCCTATGGCTGGCGCGTGCGATGCAGGGTATTGGATCGGCTTGTACCTCGACTTCAGGTATCATAGTTTTCACAACGGGAGCTCAATGGAATCAAATTTTAGCGTATATACCTGTCTTTAATGTATATAAGGCATTTATAAAAAGCCCAAAAAATTTACTGACCATGACATCGCGATACTCAAAATCCCAATCTCTTTTAAGGCATGGGAATGCTGGCCCAAGCGTATCCCGACGATGCCGAGCGTGGCAGTGCTATGGGAATTGCGCTGGGAGGGCTGGCTTTGGGTGAGTGGTAACCTAAGCTACCCTGCGCTAAAAAACTTATGCTGTTAGCCTGCTCTATTCACATTTGCTGTTAATGAATAAGTTTTAGGTGTGCTCGTCGGTCCACCATACGGCGGTGTTCTCTATGAATGGGCTGGAAAGCCGTTACCTTTCATTCTATTGGCTTTGTTGACGCTATTTGACGGAAGTGCGTCTTTATTCGTTTTTCTACTATACTTAACGTTAAAATTACTTAAGAAGACAACAATTCTACCTTCTAGGTCTCCAATTCATGGTCCTCCAACCAAAAATCGATCGCGGCGAGCCGGAGGGCAGCTCGATGAAGCAGCTGGCGAAGGATCCGTATATCATTGTCGCCGCAGGTAAATTAAAATTTTGCTTTTATCACGTCCGTGTCTTTATTTTATTATTTAAGCTTGTAATTGACTTTTATTATTAAAGTTCGCTTTACTAATATACCTTTAAGGTGCCATCACGATTGGTAATCTGGGAATTGCGATGCTCGAGCCGTCACTTCCACTGTGGATGATGGAATCGTGGCAGGCGGGGTCGTTTGAAAGAGGTATCGATCAAGTTTACCAGAATTTGTGTAAAATTCGTGCTTTAATTTATTCAACTTCATCTTCTGTTACAGGTATCGCCTTCTTACCGGCTTCGATCTCGTACCTCGTTGGAACGAATATTTTTGGTCCGCTGGCACACAAGATGGGACGGTGAGTGTTAATTACTTTATTCCTTGAATACTTTTTACTAAAAGTATTTAATTTTCTAATATTTTGATACGAATTTGCAATACCTTTGACGCTAAGTTACTGAAATCCGCCTGTTTAAGCTAAAAACAAGGAGCTAACGTCTCATACGGTTTTTCAGATGGTTATCAGCCTTCATCGGACTCGTAATCATCGGCTTCTGCCTTCTGTTGATCCCATCAGCCACTTCCGTTGGAGGCCTCATCATCCCCCATCTTTTCATGGGCTTCTCAATCGGTAAGGCATTAGTGACTTCGAAAAACACGCAGCATTACATGAAATAATGGTCAGGCGAACCCGCAAAAAAAAACAGTTTGGCCGGCTTTACCATTCATTTTGAGTTAGGAACGTATTTTTTAGGTATGATCGACGCGTCGATGTTCCCATTGATGGGCCACTTGGTCGATCTTCGCCACGTCGGGGTCTACGGCAGCATCTATGCGATAGCGGATGCAGCCTTCTGCTTTGCATTTGCGCTTGGGCCGTTCTTCTCCGGACCCCTGGTTCGATCAGTTGGATTCCCGACGTAAGTTTGGGCATTACTGAAATTGAAAAAACGTTGTTGGGCCCGACTTAAATAAGGCCGAAAGCGATTAAGAACGAAACCAAACAAGTTGATTTCTTAAAGGTACAGTCCGCTCTCGGACCATAACTTTAAGCGCTTGGGCAAGGTTGGCGGTAAAAGGCGGGAGCCGGAGCCCAAGGCGGTCGCCCACCCCGGCGCTTTGTTTGGGGCCAGAGGGCCTTTTCGAGGCTTTTGGCCGGGGGGGGACAGCCGGCGGGGGGCCCCTTTTTCCGCCCGGGGGGTTTTTTTCCTGAGGGGGGGGGTCCCTTAAATTTGTGGCTCCGAAAAATTTTTTTTCAAAAAAGTTGCGCTTACTTCGGTTCTTTAGTATGATGTATATAATCGCCATCATCAACTTTATCTACGCGCCGTTGATGTTTATGCTGAGGAGTCCGCCACCTATTATCCGGGAGAACGAGGTAAGGCATATTCGTCTAATTATGTGTCTACAAAACGGAGAACCAAAGACTTGAAAATTCTAGTACCGGCACTTGGTTGAGATTGTCAAGTAAGTCGGCACGGGGAATTTCGTACACAAGCGGCCCGATCACGTTAAAAATCTTATTTTTTTTAAATGCAGAACTTTTTGTTAATGAGTTTTTGTATTCAGTATCTGTTTATATGCATCGAAATTACGCTATCATTTACTATAGTCAATCAACAACGAATCTGTTCAAAAAATGACGGTTTTGTCGGTAATTTCGAGATTTTTTGAGATTTCGACACGGACAATCCGATAAAATTTACCAGAATTATCCATTTACACTAATTTGCTTCCTTCCGGTTCTGTTTTGCTTCCGGTAAAATTTCGAACAGGCGTTAGTTTAACAATTGGTTTTTCGATACTTTCAATATCAAAAATGCAATGCAATAACTTACCAGAAATGATCTATTTGCCTGTTTTAGTATGTTTGATCGCTATTGATTACAACGTAATTCATAATTCTTCATTTTTAGGCAAGCGCCGTATCGAATGGGGTGACGGCCCAACTCCCGGCTACTAATGACAACTACCAAAAGATTGAGGGAACCGATGCGGCTCGGATGCAGGGGTATCAATACGAATACTAACCGGAGGACACTGTGTTTTTTTTGTTATATTTCATGCTTGTATAATTTATTCAGATGTCACTTGAGCCCAGCAATAGTTCTTCAAAATTCTGCATTGTTTTTAATGCATATTTAGCTCATCTAAAAATTAGCCAAATTTTTTTTATTTAAATTTGTACATAGTCAATTGTGTTTTTGAATATTTTATGATTTTTCTACACGTAGCCTATAAATAGGGCTAGACGTATCGGTTTTGAAAATTATTTTTAGATGGAAAATAGACTATCAGAACATTAGGGGCCCCATTACTGCATCAACAACTTTTCAACTTCCTATTCCATTAATTTTTCTTTATTTGATGCTTACTGTACTTTTTTAATATGCCTCATCTTACCTATTTTTTTGGTAACTTTTTAGTGTATTTTCCATATTTTTCCTGTCGCCATCACTCACCGTTTCTCTTGCTATCTCTTGACTTATTTTTCTAGATCTTCACCATCCATTTAGAGCATTAAAATCCGCCGTATTCTGTACTTCCGCGTCGCTCGGCAAACCAGCAGTGGAGGAGGTCTCCACTCATCTATGAATCTCGCTTCTCGGTGCCATCTCCCTTTTCTTAGTGTTGCCCCGTTGAATCTAGTCGTTTTTACCTTAATTTTAGTTTTATGTAAAGAATAAAGGTATTTGATTACGGTATGAAAAGAGACCACACAGTATTACTTACAGAAAATGGCAACGTAACACGCGACGCAACACGCAACGCAATCGACGATAAAGTGCGCGGCAGAGTATTTGAAATTTGGTTGCACTTAAAAAGTAAGCATTTGCATTTTTCAAATTTTAAGAGTATTTTTAATGTATTAAAAGCGGGTCTAGAAGTCAAAAAATAACTTGAATGAAATTCAAGGTACATGCTTTTAGATTCCCTGACAGATGTAAGCAAGTAGCGCAGCGCGTACGTAACGCGCAACGCATCACGGAATGGCCCGGACCGCAGCGTAGTCCGCAATTGATTAGGCGCTGAGGACATGGAGCAAATGTTGAGGATATTTCTCGTCTGTAAAATGTATTTTTTATTAGTGAAGTGCTAACTTTAATCCAGTTTATTCAATCGAGATACTTGAGTTTAGAGGTAGATTCGTTTTAGAAACAGTCCTGGTAGATAATTATCCACTAAAAATATACCTCCTATGCCATAACTTATTATACGTGACCAAAATACGTCCGTGCAAAACCCCGGGCAGCACCCGGTGGTCGGCTCCGAAATTCCGCCACGTTAAATGTTTACGCTCTGCCCCATATAGGACAAATTAACAGCTCAAAGTGTGCATAGCAGCCTTCCGGAATTCGGCACCCAATGGCCGTCCAAAAAAACAGGGAAACTAAATAATCTTTTTGCACGGCGGCCTGCCACGACTAACGACTCGGGCGATGTACCGCAGCGGAATTCCGAATGTTTACGCAGCTACACCTCGCAGATCGTTGCCACCAACGATTGGCATCGCGAGGGGGGACGGTTACCGTACTAGAGTTGCTAAGCTTTTGAATTATGATATTTTAAGATTACAATTGATAAGTGGTTATTGAGGTAGCATCCAATATGCTCCAAATTATGATATTTTAAGAACAAAATATTCCATACCTATTAAACGATAAATTATGGCCCAAAAACTTGGGACTATCCAATCGCTACGAGCCCTGGCTATATTTGTCGTTTTGCTGTACCATTTGAATGAGCGATCGATGCCGCATGGTTTTTTGGGAGTGGATATGTAAGAATTTCTAGCCTTGCTCAAATTTTTGAATTTATAAGCCAAGTCAAAATTAAACTGAAGCGAATTTCGTATCGTAATTCGTCCAGAGGGAAACTGCTTATTTAAGAAAGGCGAACTTTTTTGAAGCCGAAGTTGTCGTTGGAAAATGACGTTCAGAGCCTAGTGAAATCGAGATAAATTAAAGGGGTTTGGGTGGCCAGTATCGGCCCCTTGCTTCCACTAGGTCTCGATAAGTATGAATCGCTAAAATATGGGCAAAATGGTTTTAATTGACCACTAATTGAATGCCGCCGCAAACGTCACCTGTCGTCATGCGTAGCTGTCTAGGCCTTGTCGATAAACTGAGAATATCGAGATTTTCGATTAAAATCTACTCAAAAACACTTGAGGAAGGCTTTTCGTAGTGGTCACTTTTTGGCGGTCGAAGCCTAGCCGACGTAAAGGCTCTATTTTCATACAATCCTCTAAACCCGCCAAGCTGATTTTTCAGGTTTTTCGTCATCTCCGGCTACCTGATGGCCCGGATATTCTTCAACAAGGGTCTATCCCTTGAAAATATGCTCGAATTCTACAAGAGACGGTTTAAGAGGATTATGCCTTGCTATGGGTAACCCCGGAAACCCCCAGCCAAGTTGATTTTCCTAGAATTTGCATCGCTACCGTAGTCTGGGCCGGGCAGTTGGCATTGTCAGATGTGGATAAGGAGAACTTGTTTGCGGATTCATGGTTTTCGCTAGCAATTTCGTCGAATTTACAACCGTTCTTTGAGAAGATCGACTACTGGAGGATGGTAAGAAATTGGGGTTTAAAGGGAGGGTAACAGGAATAGTCAGCGGTCCGGAGTAGAGCGGATAGTCAGAATAAGCGTCATTCTAGTCATTTTTAATCATAATTTATCGTTTTCTGACTTTAAAATTGGTTAAAATAAGGAGGTAAAAGGGTTTCTAGAGCAGAATATGCTAAAAATACGGTAACCTACCTTCTTTAGATCTCCGAGTACAAATTCTTGGCCCACACCTGGTCCCTCGGATGCGAGATGCAATTCTACCTCATCGTTCCCATTCTCTTCTGGCTGCTACGCAAATTTGAATACCGTGGACAAGCGGTTTTCAGCTCAATTTTGGCCGTATTTTCCTTGATATTAACTTGGGTAAGGTATAGTTTCAGATATTTAAAATTTAACGTATAGGTACTACCGCCCGGCGAAGCATTCGGTTTTGTCCTATGCCGACTTTGGCAATTTTTGATCGGCATTTTCGTGCATTTGCATATCTTGGAAAATGCAGCATCCGAATCTGCAAATCCGGGTTACGAAAAATTGGCATTGCTTGATGAAGAAGCAGGGAAATCAGAGATATGCTACGGTAACTGAATTGTAAAATACGAATCATAGATTTTGTAGGAAATAAATGCGAAGGAAGAGCCGGTTCGATAGCTATAATCTGCTTTTTGGCTTGTTTGATTTTGGCAGCCGATCCATTCCTACCAGCTTGGATTTCGAGACCCGTTGTTACGGTGCTTACCGGAATAATTATACGGTATTCCCAGATAGGTAAGGAAAGAGAGAGAGAGATAGAGAGAGAGCGAGCGAGAGCGAGCGAGAGAGAGTGAGTGAGAGAGGGTGAGGATGAGTGAGAGAAACCGAGCGAAAGAAAAGCGAAAAAAGAAGAAAAGGCCAGAGAGTGAAAGAGAGAGGGAGAGACAGAGCAGGAGGAGAGAGAGAGAGAGAGAGAGAGAGAGAGAGACTGAGCGAGAGGAACTGAGCGAGGGAGACAGAGCGAGAGAAAGAGAGAGAGAGAGAGAGGTAGAGAGATAGAGAGATATCAAGTAAAAAAAAAACAAATTCTAGCCGAAACCAAGTGGCTAACTTTCCAACCCCTGCCCTACATCGGCGATATTTCGTATGTGATGTACCTCATCCACTGGCCAGTCATCACTTTTGCCAAAGAATTATATTACGATGGAATTGATATTGACGCATACGGTAATCATACAATTCAATTCAAAACGAACCGTCGGATTTTTAGGCTACGGTATGATGGTGTTATTCATCATCACCTTGACGATTTTGGCTCATCACTTGGTAGAGAATCCGTTAACTCTGGTTACGGTGAGAAATTCACAATAGGAAATAAGAAAAATTTAGGCACGTTTCTGCTTATGGATCACAACGTTTGCATACATTATGGCTGTGGTGGGAATGTATCTGCCTTTAAATGGTGGGAATGGATCTGAAGAACCGCGATTCTTGGCCCAGCCGAGCTATAATGTTACGGCAAAAGGTAAGATGTCTATGATGGTTAGAGGCGCCAGTACGCTTCTTTTAAGTTACGTTTATGTTACGTGCAGCACGTACCGTTACACTATACTACGTACCAGTACACTCTAGTACCTGGCAGTACCTTCCAATACGTCACGTTACGCCCCAGTACGGAAGATTGCTTGCTTTCAGACTGCGATGCCCTGACCACAAAACCTGAAAATCCGGAGTGGGAGAATGTGACTCTGTCAGAGACGGGATACTTCAAACTTTTGGTATGCCTTGTCGTCGATTTTTTGGCAATTTTAAATACCTAATTATTTTTGTTTTTATTAAGCTAAATTATTATGTTATGTTTTTAGAAAGGCAAGGGCAAATTTGACGTCTTCGTGGCCGGAAATTCCTACTTGCAAAAATATCGAAGATGGCCGGACAAGATTTTCCGCGGTCGATATCGGAAGTACTATCATATGGATGGGGATAGTGAGTTAGTTTGCGAGCGAGAGAGAGAGAGAGAGAGAGAGAGAGAGCACGAAATTCTTTAAGCCTGCGTCCCGTTCTTCAACTACACCGGAATTCACAGTATGGGGTGGGGTTGCGAGAGCTTCACCAAGAAAGTTCTGGCTCAAATGGAGGAGATCAAGCCCAAAATTACGATGCTGGTGCTCGGGTTTGAAAATTTATCTTCTAAAAGAAAACTTGGATTTTTAAGCTACGGGCTCGCCAACGAATTGGCGAAGAAGCATTTTGAGAGGATGCTTCCGTTTGCAAAATCAACAATCGCAAAACTATCGTAAGTCATCCTTCTTCGTAAAACGAATTTCTGAACGTCTAAAGGAGCTTAACGGACTATCTGTTAATCACACTACCAATGTACTACGTTGATGAAGAAATCGCGCATCGTTATGCCAGGAACTTCCGGCAAAAAGGGGTGATACCGGAGCGGAACCAGACACGGTTTTTGTATGAGGTCAGAATTTAGATACTTTTCAATTCTGTCGAAAAGCAGCTGGAGCGCGAAAATTGACATCAGGTAAAGCCGACCATTTGTGCGCCACGTGCGTCGGCTTTTAAGGAGCTTATGCCGCATGTTTTTGGCGCCTTGCCAGCCGTATTTTTCGCTTGGACTCCGGCTCAATCACTTGCCCAAAAGTTGTAGCCGCTTAGCAGCTATCGATTAAAGAGCTCTATACAAAATTTGTAGTTTATATCAACTGTTTTTCTTGAAATAGACACCTTTTGAATAAATAAAATTACAGGATTACCTCGAGCAATGCGCGCCAACTCTAACGCTCATTGGTGAAGCCGCCAAGGGCTGCCCAAATTGCCGCTTCATCGACACACAGTCATTATTTTGTGAAGACGGGTAAACTACACGTTAGCTTTTTATTATACCTTTAATCCTCTAGAATCCATTGCGACGTATTCGATTACGACTGCCAAAAGCTGCTCTACGATTGGGGTGGAAGGCATCCAACGGATTATGGAAGGAGTCGATATCAGGTTAGTAATTGTTGGGTCATAGAATGTACTAGGCATCGTTTTACCGATTTAGCGCGCTAATAGTCATAGTTGCTATATTTTTCGTAGCTTTATGTATGTATTTCTAATTTTCAAGTTATAGCCAGCATACGAATTTGTGGTAAACCGAGTGTACGAGGAGATTGGATATAAGGAAGACGCAACAGCATCAGAGGAAGAGTAACGGGTCTCATAGGGAGTTTAGGTTTATATTAAACCCGGGTCTGATTCAATAGTATCGCTAAAATAAATTGTAAAAATCATGACAAATTTAATGAAGTATTTACATGGTGATCATCAAACTTTTTATGCAATTATTTCCCCATTTTGTTAAGTTGATCAAAATAGACCTCGTTGCTCTCTTTTCCATTCAATATCCGCATCAAGGACGGAGATTTGAGGTCAGATCTAAAGATCCCGATCAACTGTCAAAAAATCAATGAAAAATAATAGGTTAAAAATCGATACCTTTAACTTCTCCTCAGCATCCTATAGAAATTGAGATTAAGTTGCCCTACGGCAAATATGATATACAAATTTGAATAATTATTTGAAAACTTGTTGCTTGTAAAGTGGAATGAGCAGAGAGAAAGCCAGAGAGCCAGAGAGTGGGAGAGAGAGGCGAGAGAGAGATAGAGAGCGGGGAGAGATTGTGATAGTTGAGCTTCTCTTATCATTTCCACATTTTATTAAACTGATCAAAGTACATATTATCCCTTTCAACACCGTTAAAAATCATTCGTTTTCCATACGCATCGCGGACGGCTGCTTCAGGGGTTACCTAAAAATATTAAGATACCGAAAATTAAGATACCAAAAATTCTGTTACCTTTAACTTTCTGCGGAGCATGGAATATAAATTGAGCCTCAAATTTCGGATGGCGAATGCGGTAACATACATTTGGACGATGATCTAAATAGTTAACAACATCGGAACCTGAAAGAGAGAGAAAGAGAGAGAGAGTGAGAGAGAGAGAGAGAGAGAGAGAGAGAGAGAGAGAGAGAGAGAGAGAGAGAGAGAGAGAGGGTAACAGACTTCGACCCACTTGAATCTGCATAAAGTAATAGAAAAAGAACGTATAAAACTGTTGCTGTTCCTCATTTCGGCACATAAACAATTGGTACCACATCACGATACAAAAGCTCGTCACGCACTAAAAATATAAAGATATGACATTTCAAAGCTGACATACTTTATATGGCGCCAAAAATAGCAGTGTTCTCGAGCTTTTGAAATTCTCCTGGGTTCGATACCTTGAAAAAAACAAAAATACTTGTGGCTGATTTTTCGGAGACCTGTCCTCAATAGTGCTGTACTTTTTTGTATATACCCTTCTATAGAGTTGTCGGCTGATGACGTAGAGGCTGATGAAAACCTGAAAAAAAATTGCGGATTTTTTTTAATCTTTGTAGCGAAAAATGTTGTTTGAGACTTAACATAATTTCCAAACCACTTACAAAAATAGCAACCGTGTATGTAAAATAAATCAGTGCAAAAGTTTTGCTTTCACTGATCCACTGATTGTAGAAGACGACCAGTTCAAAGAAGGCACCGAATACCTGGAAAAAGTTACTTACGGTCCTCTCTCTCTCTCTCTATCGCTCTCCCTCTCTCTCTCCTATTTCTCAAATTTGTAAAACTCACCGTTGAAATTACCAGCGTCAGGCCGAGTCTATTACTCGAAAATTTTTGCGTATACGTTTCAAGGTATCGCAGAGAAATAGCTCGTTCCAGCGCATGGCCCATTGTCATTTGGAGTGATGAACCGCCCACTAAAAACGAATGAAGCAAGATAAACTAGCTCCTCTCCAACTCAAGCACTTCTAAATTAGAAGCATATTTTCAAGGGATCAGAAAATGCGCGAACGGACCATAGATTTCAACGGCTACGCTCCGCCCGCTTTGCATGCGCGTAAAAAACGCGCGAAAATCTTGTAAATTGTACTAAAAGGCACATTTCTATGGCTTATGCAAAGGGGCTGAATAGGTAGTCCGACTCAAAACCGCGCTCTACACACCTAGTCGCCGGAAGGCCTCTTAAAGGGACTGGTAAGAGCGATCAATCGATCCCTAGGTCGCCTAGGTGACGACAACTAGGCGGCGCTTCCTACATCTTCAAAGTTCTATTCATTTTTGATCCCTGTGATCTATGCAATTTCGAGCTTCACAATCTGCTAGATTCGAAAGGAACTCACTACAGTCCGTGAGAAATGAAAAAAATTGATAGGTGTTTGGGGTGAGGATATTGTAGTGCGTGAGTATATGCATAGTCATTCGAATAAATTCGGCTATCGTGAGAGCCGTTGGCTGCCACAACATAAGGGTGGCAAGGTTGGGGTGGCAAACCTAAAAAGCTTTTGTTTTACAGGGCCAGTGCTGGCCAAAAATCAGCTCATCATAAATAGCCTGGTGGTATTTTAACGGAAATCTTACTACCTGCCAAAATAGAAAATTACATTGAAATTTTATTATTTTTGTTAATTTTGGTCAATAATTTTCGCCTACCCATCCTTTCGCAAATAATCGATAATAGATCAATAAGTGAATAATAAAAACCAGCAGTAGCGCGGCTTCAAAGGCCTAAAAATCATGTAGATTAACGCTTCGCGGATAGATACCTGCATATAGACAAAATATTCTTGGAAATAGGGATTTGGGACGAGGGCGCCATGCTTCACCATTAGTGCGTAATCTCGATAATCCTGTAAATATAGAAAAATTCTAATCAAGAGAATCAATAGAAACAAAAACGTGGATATAGAGAATTATCAGCAGTCAAATGTCCGAAACGAGCAGTGAGCAAGATTAGATGCTTTAAAGGGGTTGGGAAGCGCGGAAATCTGCCGTTTTTATTAGGTTTCGACAACTACATCTTGCCCCAAATGACGGAAATTAAGCAGTCACATAACCTGACCGAGACCTAATCAACAGAAGACTCGATTTTAGCAAGATTTGGGAGCATTAAAGGGGCTGTCAATGAATTGTTATGGTGGATTTCTATGGACTGGCCCTGGCAATCCCGTAAAGATCTGAAAAGTGAGAAATTAAAAGGATTCCTAGAGCACACCAAAGAAAATTGAAGAACTCCCTTCAATTACCCGGAGCGCCGCGTAGTTTTGAAAGAATTTAACGGAATCGCATGCTCGGAAAATGTGCGTAGAAAAATGCGCGAAACCAGGATGAAAAGATTCGATTCTCCCATTTGCTCAATTCCGTGCACCCGGCTCCCACGGCCTATGTACCAAGACGCGGAGAAACGCACAATGTCCTTTGAAACAGAGCACAAAATAGGACGAGTCATTTGAGGTTAATTAATTTCTATTTGAATAGAACGTATCTGGATGTGGTTGGGTGGGATCGGTGGAGCGGGACTAATTATTACAGCGTCGAACCTTCCCTTAGAAGGCAGAAGAAAGATGGCAAAAAAACTGGGGGAGGAAAGCGCTAATTTTCCCTGAAAACCATGCCGGAAATTTTGGTTTTGACCGGATAAACAAAAAACTGAGGATTCCTGGAAAATATGAATCGTTCGGTCGCTTGCAAACGCTGTAAAAGTGTCGAGTAAAATTATCGAAAACCACCGGAGGTAGATGCGCCGGGAAAGTACGGCAGCTACCCCCCAACCAATCCCTAGATATGAGGAGCTTCAGGCTTCTCTAATAGACAGTTCGGAACCGGAAAAGGAAAATATAAATCTTAAATTTTTTTCTCGTTTTGTCGCTAAATCTTAGTTTAATCATTTTTCGCAAATTTTACAAACAAAAATGTCGAAAAGCGGTAAAAAAATGCTAGCCGTTCAAGGCAGTAGCAGTTGCTACGCGCCACGCCAAATGACGAATGACGGATGACAAAAATCGGATTTAGCACATTTTTCAGACTAAAATGTCTTTCCTCGTTTAAACTTCGCACGCGCTCATGGTACTGAAAATGGGAGGCCATTTTGAGAAATGTTTGCGATAAAAAAGGTTTTTACCGAATATTGAATCGAAACTGGAATGTTACAAACGGGAACAGGTGCATTAAGTATTGCGCAAAAATGTCTTTGAAAGGCAAACCCCCCCGCCCCGTTTATTTTTGTTATGCCGGTGTGCAAATGGAACCACTTGTAGCCAAAAAGCCATGAGCAGCACGTTTTCAAAAATCATGCTGTTCCTCTGGAGCAGCGTTTTAAGAGCTCTTTGCTATAAAAAAACACTGAAATTCGTCAAATATGCCAGCTGCTACCATAATTGTGTGTAAATGGGCAGCCGGATCTCAATTAACAGAACAATACCCGACGAAAGGGATCACAATTAAAAAAAGATAAAAAAAAAAAAAAAAAAGAAAAAAAAAGGAAAAAAAAATAAAAAAAAAGAAAAAAAAAAAGAGATGTAATTTTCTATGCAATTTACGGGGGCAATTTTGTGGTTTGATGGCTGATGAAAGAAACCAAACCTTCTGTGAAAATCAGGGTGGTACATTTTTCGAAGAACAGTTTTTTAGAAAACTTCATTTGGAGGAACATCGAGGATCTTGGGAGCGGCGAGCTGGAGAGCCGATACCAAGAAAGAGTCCAGTCGCAAATTTACGCTACGGGCTTGGAACTTAGGCGAGAGAATTGTTAGAAACGTAAACTAGTCCCACCGTTGTTTTTCCCATCAGTCTAGGCATTTCGCCAGCTATATTGACGGTTATATAAAAACGTACACAAAACGTCCAATGAAAACCTATGCTGTGGAAAGCGGTCATAAAGTCTATAGTTGAAATTTTCACGGATTTGGAAAGCCTGTTTTTCGCAGGTGGAGGCCAGGTGGTTAACGGAATCCTGAAATTTTGTAGATTATCCAGAAATCTGGCGACCACGACATCATCGCATATCCTACACATCGTATCTCAAAAGGGCAAGCTGTTGATGTGTCTATGGGACGTAACTTAAAACAGTAAATCCGTAAAAAAACTGGACTTCGTGGTGTCCTGATCTTTTTTAAAGATATTTACAACCCTACAGAAGACTTTCTTGTAAAAATTTTGCACAAAACGTTAATGCGATAATTCGTTAGATACGCGGTTTCCTATCGTAATTCTTTCTCAGGCGTTTCCGGCTGCTAAAAGGGCGGTAAAAAATTCTCGAAAACCATTTTTTTCGGAAATCACGTTTCAAAAGTGAAAACTTTTTATAAATTAACCTCTGTGGCCATTTC